ATATTTTAAGACCTGCTTACAACAGTTTATAGACACAGTCATTAAAAAAAGGAAAGAAAGTACTAAAAATTAATGCTTTATCAACCAAAGAAACATATTCCACAGAAATAAATTACCCCAATTCCAGTTATTGCCACATTTACATAACCATATTAATCTCGAGAGAATATAGAGAAAAATATACTAAATCTCAGTACCGCAGAATGCCTTCCGAAATAATTTGTTTTTCTTCCTCTTTTCCTTCAGCTAATACTTCAGGTAAGATATTAAGTGTATGAAAAAGTCTGTTAGAAAAATTACGTGATCTTTAGTACCAATATTTTGGAATAAGAAATATTTCAACGATAAACAAAAAACATATATGCATCAGCGATATGCATGCAGATAGTGAGTAATTAGCTGATATTCTATTGACTTCTCTAGAAAAAAATTTTGAGGTCATTGTTTTGTCATTGAGATTTGTTATTTTAAATTCATTACCTAATTAAAATTTATTTGTTTTTAAGCGTTTTTTCTAACATGTTTTTAAAGAATTTTATCTAAAATTGTAATTAGTAATTTTACCTAATCCTTTTTTCAATATTTATTCATTTTACGCTTGCGTACGTCAACAGCGACAACTGACATTATTTCGAATCAAACTCAATTCAAATTTGAATTTCAAAAAATGCTATGTTTGGATTCTGGTCTATGCCTAAATAGTCAAGTTAAATGTTGCCAATAAAAAAAGTACTCGTGTGTGTGTGAGTTAGCATGACGTCACAGTTAAAATAATTAAATGTAAAAGATATAAGCACAATGATGAATTGTATGTTTTAGACCGTGGCTGGCTTACATCCGTAGTACGCTTGGGTGCTAGAGAGTGCGCAATATCCGTTGTACATCAGAATTGCAATGCCACTATGCTAAATTCTCAGTATTCTTAACTGAAAACTTGTATCTTGAAATGTCATAGCCTATGATTGCCAAATATATTTTTTACTTACGTGATTGAGAGCAAGCCTAGCACTGTAACAAGTGAGACAGTGATATAAGACAAGGAAGTTAAATATATCTGAAATATATATATATATATATATATATATATATAGAAAAATCTATCTGAATACAAACAAACAGCTGATTACCTTAAAGCGAAACCTAATGATAAATTAGAAGTAACTTAGTGTTATTTCTTACATAACATAGCCTTTAAAGTACTTAAAACAACCTTATGCTAAGGCAGTAGATTCTCTTAAACATTAACTTATGTAAGATTAAGGAAATGTAATTGCGTACATGAGGATGTACTGTCTTTGCCGTTGTGTGAGTGCAGCAACTTTATGTTAAATTAGATATCTAGGACACGGCTTAGCTGCATAATGCTAGAAGTATTTTCATACAATACACAGGAAATTGTTTAATTGCAACAATTGAAAAATAGCGAAACTTAATCGTAAACGTTACTAAAATAATTTAATATTATCAGTAACTGTTTATTAAACTTTGAAGTAAGATCGGTATGTATTAAGTAGACTAAACGAGTAATAAATAATTGAAAACTAATACAAAAACGAGCTAAGAGCGATTCGGTCTTGCACAGCAAGGGCTTTCTACCATCGCAAAAGAGTTAAAACCTATTATATATATTTTTCTAGTTTCTTGAATTTCGTAAATAAACCAAGGGAGATAAATATTTAAGTAAAAGTAGCTATATTTTTGATTATTTGTTATTACAATAGAAATAGAGATACACATTTTGTGAACATGTTAACGTTTACCGTTAATTTTAATGTTTACCGCTTTACTTTTGGGACCTATGATTCAGCCTGGATGCCGCAAAAATTGATGTAATTGTAGTTGCCATTAGTACTCTTTACAAAGAATACTAACCGCTCGAAGCGAAGCGTTGCTGATCGAGTGTCGGGAGGCTCTAATAAGCTATGACCTTAAAGCCTAAAACATCTTTTGATATAACATGGAGAACAGGAAAAAACAAGGAACATTAGCTAGAACCGTGTTTTGCTGGAATACATCATTGTAAATTTGTACATCATTCTCTCCGACTTGTAAAAATATCTGAAAAAAATGTCGTCTGCCCTGGTGGTGCAGTGATAGCTTATGCGACTGCTGTGCTGATGTCTCGGGTTCGATTTCCGGGTCAGACCGAGTGTTTGTATGATCTGCAAATATTTGTTTCGGAATTAGGGTGTTTTCTATGTAAAATATGTATATATTTACAAAATAAAATTTAAGGTGTATAAGTATTCTATCGGCCAATCTAGCTTTCATAGTACAAATTCTGCTTAGTTTAAAACTAAATGGCGTTGTGTGTTAGGTGTCAGATCTATTATTATCATTTCATGATTTCATCCTTTTATTTAATTTTATTGTGATGAGAAATAAGCAAATTCACGACATTTGTTGTTTATTATCTCAGTCATTACTTTTTTTAGAATGTGGATAAATTACACCCAAACACAGAACAAGTGGGCATGCCCATCACACGATTATTTGTCCTGTGTAAGAATCAAACACACGACCTTACGAAAATTAGCGTTCCGGGTTTATTAATTTCTAGGGACGCTCACCCTAACCACGTAGGGGTATAAAAAATTGCTTACGACTTATTCTCAGACCAATTACGCAATATACAAAATAAACAAAAATTTCATAAAAATCGGTCAAGCCATTTCGGAGGAGTTCGATAACAAACACAGTGACACGAGATTTTTATATGTTAGATTAACAGAAAATATTATTTGTAGTCTTTCAGCTTTGTCGCTGTGATATTATTTAATTAAATAAATTTAAAGGTAAATCATATCAAATAGGATTTATCACGTCAATTTAGGTTTGAAGATTTGAAGTACTGCGAGATAACATCTTAATCGGTTTTATATCTAAGTATATTGCTTAATGGTTAAGGCTATTACAGTAGACACGTCTGGTGGGGCACAAGGCCCATAGACAGACATCTACCTTGTCAAGTTTAGTACTCTGTGGTGGCGTTGTCTATGGCATACGTTTTATTGCGCATGCTTTGCGTCGCGTCGCGTCCGTAACGTTACGTGCGCGTCGATCACTTTCGATCTTTACCTTGTGGCCCAGTTGCAATAGGAATCTGTGTCAGAAAATGTTTTATAACTACTGAATAACATAGAATTAAGTAATATTGAGAAGATTTGTGACTTAAATATAAAAATGTAATTTTTGTAAATCAAATTATAATTCTATATATTTAGAACAACCTATTCTTTAAATTCAACTCGAACGCGTTAATTTTAGATGGTACATCAGAATATTATGAACCGTCTCAAAATCAGGATGAGATTGTTAATAGATGTACCCTTTTTAAAAAGTTTTATTCTCAATAGGTGTAATTTATAGGAACTGATCTGTAATTTATAAAATATGATTACCTCCGTTGTTTGAACCGTTTATGGTAGAAATTTTCACACTATATTTTATCAAACTTGCGTTAGTAAAAGTTTAATGCAACTTGATTTTTCATCTGTCAGATGCAAGTGAAAACAACCACCTATTCTAATGATAACAGTTAAAAAAATATAGCATTAGCAGATTTTTGTCACTCGTCAAAGACTAACCATTTTCCCATGAAGCTCTTGTATGAGACTAGGATAGTCTCAAAACTACTTTTACTTAATAGTTAGTTATGCATGTTAGGTAAATATCATTAGTAATGAGCTTTAACATTAGATAATTTTGTAATAAATTCACTAAAAGGTAACTTAATGAACTGGAAGCTATAGTTATTATCATTTTATTGGGTATACGATTTTATGCACTAAAATTTTATGAACTCAAGCATGCAGTGACGCATTTAGCACTTACAAACTTCGCAATATAAAACAATGTTGTTGAAGAAATTATATAAAAATAAGTCCGACCTCAATACAGACAATAGACACGCTGATAATGAGAAAATAATGTATTTCATACTCCGTCGTTATGCAATTTTTATAACAATAAACAGCATGCACTAACACTTAATATTTCAAAATATTGTTTCTCTATTGTTTACTTTAAATTGGGACTGTTTTAGGGCAATTTCAATTGCTACATCATCATCATAATCATCAACAGCCTTTAATAGTCCACTGTTGGACATGGGCTTCTCCTTAGAAAGGAGGTGGCAGTGGAGGCTTGTGTCAAGTTTTCCTTCTCTTTGCAGTGTTAGTTTGCTCTATTAGTCGGCTCAAAACGTATGAAGGGGTGGTGACACTCCGTATTCTTATCCGTCATCACACGGACGATAAGATAGTGATTAAATATGTTTATTTCTTTTTAATTAAATAAAGACAACTCCCGCACTAGGAATAAATCCTGTGTTGCTGGGGACTTTATAAATATACGAGTACATAAAACGGACACAAAGGACACCCAGACTTAGAACAACAATTTGTGGATCACTCGAAATGTAGCCCCATGTGGGGATCGAACCCACAACACTCAGCGCAATAGGAAGCGCCGAGGTGGCCGCTTAAACCACTACGCCATCCGTGCAGTCAATTTATTTAAAATTAATCCACATAAAAATATTAAGTTGTTATTTGTACCTTTAAATTAACGTATAAATATAAAGATTATTTTGTTGTGCAATAATTAATAGTTTTTTTTATAATTACATAATAAAGGAATTCGAGCCAAATCAAAATAATTAGGTAATCAAATCAATATTGCAAAATTTGCCTTAACTAGTTATACTGGCTGACATTAGGCTGATTGATTATGACCAATGATTTAGTAATATGTTCAAACTGCATCGATTATGTCGTAACGAGTAACCCAGACTAGATGCCTGAGTTGGGTACGGTCAGTTTTACGCAGTAATCCATTAAGGTCGCGTGTTTAAAACATTCTACACAGAAAATACTTATTGTTTTTTTAAGTGTCAACCATCTATCGATTAAATTTTACAATTAACGTCTAAAGTGCATTAAAAAAAGGACAATACCAGTACTGTCAAAATATATATATATATACATATATAAATCAAAATGGATGTGAAAAAAGTGTGCTATATCTGGATTCTGTTATCTCTGCTTTTGTTCGATTGTTTGATGGAAGGATCAACGGAAGAAGCTTCGTTTGAATTGCCTGTGCAATTAGTTGGATTTCCATTTATCATAATGGCAGTCCGTCTCACCAATTTCGTTAAGAAACTGTCATACGCTTTAAGTCCAGGTAAATATGTATAATATCTATGAAATCTGATCTACAACGCTAAATTTTCTATTTGACTTAAATAAAATAAAATTATTAATTTACCTAATAAATTAAATTTTCGTTTACAAAGATGATTTTTGTGACAGATTTAGTTCTTTTTAAATCGTTTGCATCGAAGAATTTGAAGCAGTTTTAAAATTTTTTTAGGTACCTAGGTAAAGCGCATAGACATAAAAAATTATGTTGTAATGGATGATAATTAAAGTGATTGAAATTGTTTTCCATATTATCGTAAAAAATTTAAAAAGTATACTTTTAAATTTTTTACGATATTTTCAAATAGAACTTCTGAAATAAGAAAAATAGACTAATTACATCATTCGCGGCAATATTATTTTAAAAAAAACCTACCTACATTTATTTAACCATATCTAACATACGAGTATATTCTTGCTACTTTATTACCTAAACTGTTTTGTAACGAAATTGGAAAAGTGTACTCACTGACCTTGCCTTTTACTTAAGTTTCTTAACGTGGCTGTGTGTCCGGTCAGATATCACTAACTTTCAGAATAGCTTATAATCTAAGTTAATTGTATATAATGCACTCGGTGATCACCGTTATCCTGTTGATCGGAAATCATAATATTTATCTAAATAATGTTTTAGATAATGTCTTGTAATTCGTAATCCTAATACTAAATATGCCTTTTTAGATTTCTTTTCTTATTATCTTCTTTTAATATATAATTTATTTTAAAATAAAATCCCTCAAGCGTTCGGTTGACTGTCTTATGTTTGTCCCTTTACAAGGTAATTAGAACTAGAATAATAGTTGAAAAAAAACTGGGTGTTTGTCACGCCTCTGCCTACCCCATATAGGGATAAAGGCGTGAGTATATGTATGTACTTATGTTTATTTACAAAACTATACAATGTAAGTCAATTGTGTAGTTTACTATACGACTTTAAAAAATATTTAATATGCTCGATAAAATAAAAATTGTTGTTGTGAGTAGCGTCCTTTTAAATTTCACTTTGATTTTGTAGATAATTACACACATAAATTATGTATGAATATGATGTTTTTAAAACCATACATTAGTGAATTATTAATCTGGCCCGTATCTACTGCTACGGTCTAGTAACAACAAACATTGTTTTATTACCTAATTCATTAATAAATTTTACCTAGGGTGCTCTTCTCCTTATTAATTGATTCTTTAGTCTTTTGTATGTGAAATAAAACTAATATTAATATGAATGAATAATACAAATTCAAAAAGGAAATACTAATTTACAGACAATATAACTAATGCTACAGTCCATCGAATCTAAGAAGTACCGTTTGACAGTTCTGACAGATTGAAGTAAAGCCATCCTTTTGGGGTTAAACAATTCTTAGTATGTACTAATCGATTACAGTTTTACAGATGTATGTATGTTACTATAAAAGCCTAAATCTTAGTATACATTAGACTCAAACACGAGCGAAGATTTATTTAAAATTACATTAACGTAGGTACATACTTTTCATTTTGATTTTGAGTTTTCGTTAACAGTCGGATGTTAGATGAATTTTAAGTATTATTAATCATTAATGCCTGCCTGGTAATTGAAATGCCTGCCATGCCTGGTAATTGAAATGACTCGTAATTAATAAATACGATTTTTCGTACATTTTAACGATTATCCGTATTCAAGTGAATTTGAAGAGCTGCAACACTACGGAAAAGGACCTAACTACGTGACTTTGAAACGAAGTTTGAAAAACAAAACATTTATTGTATAAAAATTGGTTATTTTTCTTTGTTTAAAATACTTAAATTTATTCATTAATAATTGTATATCTTGCGGTAAAATAAAAACACCTTCATAATTCCATAATTTTAAGGAAAATGTTTTTGAAATTGTGTGAGTTACGCCTGTACAAAGTTGTTTCATCTTGAAACTTTTCATGACGAAACAACTTTCGGTACCTCTTAGAAAAACGTCAAACAGTACCTCTTAGATTCGATGGACTATAGTTTTCTTACAGTAGCCATGTTTAAATTCCGAATCCAAAATACAAACTCCTTTAATTTATAATTAGTAATTCCACTTGTATCGACACTTCTACACGCGTTGAATTCTTATAGCTATCATAATCAATGCGTCAGCTGATAAACATTGGTCTCATGATTACATCAACTTTTATAACGACAGGTCACCAGGCCAAGGTTTACCCTCATTACATAATGATAACCATAGACTAATTAACCTACCTCGTCAAGCAGTGGAATTTCAAAGTATTAATGCAGTTGTAATATGGTTGACAGCATTAATATATTTTTTAAATAAACTATGTTTGTAACGTTTGATATTAAAATTGTAGCTGTCGCTTAGTCTAAGAAATGTTAAATCTGTTATAAACACGCTATATCGTAGTATGAATAAATACAGTAATTATTATTGAACATAAAACTGACTAAAAATTGTGCGACATTTAAATGACTACCAGAATTACACCATGATTACCTGTCAATTAAATAAATAATTGAAACCTCTGCAAGGTTATGAAAACAAACTACTTCCACCTTTTTCAAAACGAGTACATAGTTAAAATTTATTGAGTTCTATGCTGCGTAAGTATGATTGACCCACATAAATATTACATAAAGTACTTGGAGAGAAGGCGTTGCATTCCTACTCACGTAAGAGCTTTTGCAGTATAATCTTAACCGCTCTACTGACTAGTTGAGCTCAAGTACCACTGACCGCGGTTCCTACGTGTAGTGAAACGGGCACTACGGAGCAAATTCGAATTTGGAACGCTGATTGTTTTATGTCAATGTTTTAGTTTTTAGTGGTTAGAATGCGCTATACTAAAATGAAGTGTAGTAGAATTAATTTTTTTTTTCTTTGCCATTATATTTATTTGTTTAAGCGTGAATGTGAATAGTGAAGGTGGCGATTACGAGTTGCCGGTGCAGCTTGTAGGTTTTCCTTTTATAATAGCAAGTGTGAAACTGACAAATTTAGTCAAAAAAGTTTCTTACTCCTTGACTCCAGGTATGGCAAGTTTGGTTTTATCGTAATTAGACCATCCATACAGTACTCCTAACTTACTTATTCATATCATCCTTTGAAAAGTTTGTTTATAGAAATTAGTCCCTTGTTAGGAATTCCTTACAGAATAATTAATTTAATGACAGTTATAAAATGCAGCTAATCCAACATATATTATCAAATATTTATAGATTTTTAGAAAACGAAGATCAATACTTAATTTAATCAAACAAATTTTAGGGTTCCGTACGTCAAAGGCAAATAAGAACCCTTATAAGATCACTCTCTTGTCCGTTTGTCTGTCCGTGTGTCACCACCGATTTCCTCCGGAATGGGTGGACCTAGCAAGTTGAAATTTGTACCAGATACCCTCAATATCTGGTATAAAATTCAGAATTGTCTCTTTACTTGTGCTATAAGATCTTGCTTTTAACCAAAATTTACAATTCTAGGTCAACCGGCAGTACCCTATAGGTTTTAAGTCTAAAATTTATATGGTAGTTCCCGTTGACCTAGAATCACGAAATTTTGACAAAAAGCAAGATCTTACAGTACAAATAAAGGAACAATTCCAAAAAATAAAAGAGTTAAAAATTATAATAGATAATGGACTCGCACTTGGCCGGTTTTTTAATGTTTCTTTCAATTACACGTGCAGTTATTCTGATTTTCCTATTTTTCAATCAACTAACGAAACTGGTATTGATAGTAAGGGGGGACGAGCTATTCACGTCAGAGAAGTCCGCTGCGCTTGTGGTTCACGCTCTCGCTCCTGTATTTGACTAGACTAACTTTGTCTTAAAACTTCATCTTTCTTACCCTTTTTTCGAATTTATTTACGGGCGGTGCAATGAGTTTACGTCTATTCTCCTTGGTCACTTGTTATTCTATTTTACGATGTCCTTCATTTCATTACGGTCTTGGCTTCTTTCTTTTACACTTTAAGAACCCATATAATTATGTTATTTGCTTTGGTACTTATACTGAAACCTGTCAAGGTAGTAGCGCATGTAATAAACTACACATTTCATAATCTAAAATACACATTTCATAATCTATCGTATATGGTCAGCGAGTTTCATCACTATGACAAAATAAACATTGTTGAAATGCGGCCAGTAATTTTATTGTCCTATGAAACCTTTAAAACATTCAACTGTTCTAAATTAAAAGTCCAAAGTTATTATTTCGAGTACAAGATTTAATTTAAAATTGTCCTTAACAAAATAAGCGAGTTAACTAACCTTGTATTTTAAATAAACTCGCTTTCGGATTTTACATCGGATGTTAAAAAGTTCGGGACAGTGGCATTTAATCTTGTTTTTTTACTGATATTAAAAAATGTAAAGATATGAAACTAAAGTCATGGATCCTTAAATTATGTCAAGAGAAGTACTTTTTTGACTCTTGAGTAACTGCTTGAGCAACTGCGATGTAGAAAATTAAAAGCTCTGGAAAGAAACATTAAACTGATCTCCATTAAAATGTTCTGCATTATAGGTATATCTATCTGCTGTAAAAAGTAAAATAGGTCAATGTTTTATAATGTAAAGGATTTATAAGTGCAATAAATATAAAATGTTACGTAATTCACACGAAATACTTACATTACATGTTGCTTTTTGCCTTCTATTTTTGTGTCTATTATTTGGATGTAATATGAATAAGGTGATCTAATTATTTTAGGATGTCTAATTATTACTAATGAACTGGAATATAATAATATATGAAATTTCTGACGTTTTGACCATGTTGTACGTTCGTTCAGTGTAAACAGAACACGTCTTTTAATAAAATAATAATAAAAATAAATTTGAATGTCATATGCATTTATAAATTTACATCGTCATCATCCACCATCGTCTACTCACTACTGTATTTAAAAATTCATATTATTTCAAAATCACTCACAACACAATCATCATCATCAAGTATACGGTGTATTTCCATAAACTTATTCTCTTTGCATGCTTTTTATAATAGCCCCCAACGAACGGGTGGGCAGATGTGTATGTACTGTCCAAATTTCGTAAGGGGTAAGCCTATTGCCGTCAATCAGGCACTAGGCCTTAAATTGGCAAATTTATCCCCATTTAATTTTCTTGATTTTGGTTAGTTAGTTCACTCGATAGGTTTTTTTATTAACCTATTACTATTTGGCGCCAAAAATCCGCCATTTTATTTTTTTGAAGTAAAACTTCTTTACGCACGCCTGACTTGGCGAGTAAACTGGTAAATGCGTGACGATAGGGTTACGAAAAGTGTGATTGTGCGAGGCGGACAGAAGTTGAGAGGGAGATATAAGTCAGTGAAGTTAGAAAGAGAGAGAGTTACGTTTCGTATTTTTTTTCTCTCTTTCGCTTATAGCCAAGAAGTTATACTTCAGTCCTGTAGTCTAAAACACACTCGTTTTTTTCTTTCAAGAAGGTAATAAAGAAATAGAAAAACAAACTTACAAGTTTTGCGCTAAAAACATAACCCTTTCTTGGTATTGAAGTAAAAAGGCAACAACTTTTCTCTTTACGTGGATCTCAATAAATAAAAGTTAGATGCCAAAGTGGGATGGGTCAAAAGATTTCTACCGTTTTTGTTCATTGTGAGTTAGTAAGTACGTACCTAATACTTTATTTTGGTCTAGTTTTATCCAAAAGCGTCTCATATAATCCGTCCAATTTTGTTTCTTTTTTCGGTTAATTTTATTTCGATGCCAAAAATGTTTGCCTATTATTATTGTTGATGCAGCTTTTGATACTAAAATTAGTCGTACTAAATTATATCCTTAAAGTCAATCTAGAAGTAGAGTGTCGATAGTCCTATATTTAAATACTATTGAGAATCTTAGTTTTCTTGAGTTCATACCCATGTTCTTTACTTCTACTACAGCGTTTATTAGAGTTATTCGAAATGCAATGATTTCTATTATTCGTGTTCTTCTTACTGCACAGTTTGTAGCCTCTTTATTAATTTTACATGAGTATATTTATGTTCAATTTACAGGTATTTGTCGTAAATTTATACTTTGTACCTGAATAATCCTATAAATATTGTCGTATGTCTTCGATATTTATTTGAATAACATCCTAAAATGGATGAGATACGAACGGCATAAAGCCTCAGGGAGTAGTAAATCCTGGTTTAAGCATCGTTTAACTTGGACAAAAAATATCAATCGATTAAGCTCGAACATCAATTATGTATAGATAATTAATCTTGATTCAAGTATTATATATTATTAGAAACTAAGTGGGGATACATTTAAAATTTTGGTGTTTGCACAACAGTAATTTTTCATCTAAAGTATTTTTAGAAAAAAAGTAAGATCTAGTATTTCTGTGATCGACGATATCACATATTAGCTTAACACGAAAGAATCGTTGGATTGAAGTACCTCGTTGTCCGTATGATAGCGTAGCGTGAAACCCATGCACCATTTGTGTATAATTAAGTATTCTGCTAGACTAGACTAGTTAAATAAATAGGTCTTCATCAGTTGGCACCTTATATCAGATTATGAGATATGCTTATTTATTGTATTATGAGTAGTTTAGTTTGGTTAGTTGGATGATGAAACTCTTTTTTTAGTTTTAAAGTTATTTCTCTTTAAAATGTTTTTTTTTAAATAGTTTTAGTCACCTAATTTATTATACAACAAATAATACTTTTTGTAGGCTAATACGTATTTGCACTAGTGATCCTAATTATATGTGTTTTATGTAAAAGCATTAGAAACCACTCGTTTGTAACGCCATGTATATAATTTATTGAAATCCTCTAAATTACATAAAACCGTTTAACATATTTCTGGAACGTAACGCATTTCATTGAGACATCTTAAGTGTAAGGAAACGAGGTGGTATAATATTGCAGAACAAATGATATTCCGGTAATCTGGTTACCTCCTCAACACTAGTACATGAAGACACATATACCGAGTAATTTCATCGTCATGGATAGTGATCATGTAGGACTTACATAGATATGATATTTTTATAATAAATTTTGACACACTGTAACATATTGATATTCTTTGCTACAACATATCAACATTAATTAATACATGATAATATACAATTACAGTAAAAGATGGATGGTCTGTATCAGACAACAAGATCGATGGAATCAAAGTGGTTTTGGAATCAAATTATAACTATAAATAATTAATTATTAAAGTCGATAAAAATATGTTTTAAATTTAATTTTATCCTGTATAAATCCTACGAATTGTTCATTTTAGTTTCTTGATATTTTAAACTGCGCCTTCTAGATCATAACCTAGTATGCGTTCTAGAACAACGGAAATAAATAAGTAAACTGTACCTTTGATTTACTCGTCAAAAGCTCGAAAGTCCAGAATTTATGCTGTCAATTGTTTAAATGTCTATAAACTTAATTGTATATTTTATGTAAAATATTTATATTTTATATTACAACTAACAACCTTCTTAATACCAATATAAGATAGTATAAATGCCATTTTAATCATTCCAGCAACCTACCGCTCGCGGAACCGTCGTGAGTTAACAGTGTCAGAGGTTGAGCCTTTCGACGTCGCTGAAGTCGAGAAATATATCGTTGGGGAATTTGGAGAAAAATCGTGTGTGTTTGAGCGCGTTTGTGCACACTATGCGACGCAGGCGAGCCTATACCCAAGACAGCAGCTGAACTGGCCAGATGTTTTCAGGTAATGTATAACATCAATTTATTAAGTGTTTTAAAAAAAAGAAACGCCGGTTTTAGAGTATTTATTTCATACGAATGAAATCGACTTACCTCTTAATGACTATCGTACTGGAGACTGGATTATCAAATCTAACTTAGAAAATGAAGAATTTCCATACAAGTGTTCATCCCTTATCTTTTCAGTTGTGAAATTTCCAAAAATTCTTAGTGGGTTTTTACAACATAAAAGGCATCAGCTACCAAAATTTTAAGTTTGTAGCCCGAACGGTTTAGGCTCTGCGTTGATGAATCAGTCAGTCGTCAGACGGATTAAGAATACGGAATGTCACTACCCCAATTCATACCGTTGGTGTCGTAAGAGCCGAGTAAGGGAGCAAACTACTCAGGACAACAGCACTGCAAAGAGAAGGAAAACTTGAAACAAACCCTATATCAACCCGTCTGGCCAGCGTGGTATAGTAGGCCAAAACCTCCTTTTTATGTCCAGCAATGGACTGTTATAGGCTGTTAATGACGATAATAGTTGTATATAGATTTATAGTCTTTCCGTCAATCTCTATTGGTCGGTACAGTTTTTAAAATACGGCATATCACTTTTACACACCGATTACAAACCGGATAAAAACTCTTAAAAATGTACTCAGCAAATTGGGTCGACGCGCGATATGTTTGCAATACGAAAAACCTCCTCAGATGTGGCTAGAATTTCGATCAAAAGTGGATGGATTGAAATCCCCTCAATAATGTGATGTGATGTCAATAACTTTAAAAAAATCGGTTGTCTGTAAAGTCGGTATACTGACGATAGTTGAACGTGAGAACGTCATAAGAAAATATTGATGGAATGGTTGCATTTTTCAAAAATGTATTATTGTATACGAGTAGCAGCTGTCCACGCGGACGCATCGCTCACTCAAGTAGGAGAGAGACAGATGCCGAACGCTGCCGAACGCGGAGGCCGATTGTGAATCTTTGTCGCTCGTTCCGCGCTCTCGCTTGCACTTCACGCCTTAAATGGAACGCCTCAGAGCGAGGTAACGCCGCATGAGTCATGTTTTTTTCGTGCGTGCAGCCGGCTCCATCGAATTATAACACGTTGTCACGTCAAAAATTATTACATACTCGGTAATGATCTCTATGTCTAAGGTAATATTACCACGTTTAATGTAATCTGTTTATTTACTTAACAAACGTGAGATATTTTAAAGTAGTTGGAATCGCCAGATAACACATTGATGGTGTGACTAGTATATTTAAGACATTTTCATAGTATAAAGTCATATGGTATTTTGTTGTGGGGAAATGCTGCTCACATTGTATCTTTGTTTTGCAAAATGTAGGTATGTTTATAATGGCTTAAACTTGGCTTGGCTTACTTCCGTACTGTACTGTCTATACATTACAGTACGGTGTCAATCAATCTAACATACTATACTATTATAGTATGTTAGATTGATTGATTGATTGATTGATTGAAGTATAATAGACAGAAAAGTATGTTAGATTATATTAAATAAAGTTAGATAAGGTATTAAGATGTTACATTGGAACCGGAGAATATATTGTTTTCCAGATTACTTAAGTTTCCACTAGGAGTCTAATTTTTCTTCAAATTTAAAAGTGGAAATATACCCTTATTAATAAAAACAGGATCTTCCAAATCGGTTTGCAAATGAAAGAGTTTTGAGCTAACAAACATGAAAATAATTGCGTAACAAACATTTTTTTTTTGTCTAAATGTTTTTAATCTCTTATTACTCTTTTGTGCACACTCTCTGTAAGTAAAAACAAGAACCTAACAAATATATTGAAAAAATAAAACAAGATCAATACATGATTATATTATTGAAAGAGTTATACTCTAACTTCTAAAGGTCAAGAACCTTTCCATCATCAGCCCAGCAACATGACATAACGGTTACTAAACGTAAATACCTATATAGCTAAAACTAAAACACGTTGTGGGGGCTGTAAACTTTGAGGGTTTCCCTTGATTTCCCTAGGATCCCATCATCAGATCTTGATTTGGTATTCTATACCCTTTCGATTACAAAATAAATTTTTAGAATCGGTTCACAATTTACGGAGATATCGCGTAACAAACATACAAAAAAAATACAGTCGGATTAATAACCTCCTCTGTTGTGTTTTTGAAGTCGGTTAAAAAGAGAGCTATTCGCGCAATTTATAATCTCAGTTATAGGCAGTCAATGAGGGATAAGTTTAAAGAAATTAGTATTAAAACAGTCGCATCTCTATATATATGTGAAAACTTAGTGTATGTAAAGAAAAATGTAAAGAAAATTTATTCGCAAAGTTTTGCGACATTCATAATATAAATACTAGAAATATTGATAAACTCGTGTTACCAAAAATAAGACTACAAAAAGTAAACAAGTCTTTTTGATGTCAGGGTGTGCGATTCTACAATTAAATTTCAAGAAAATGTCATGAATTAAGTATTAACAAATTTAAGTCCTTATTCCATAGTGATGCAATTACCTGATCAATGTGTCATGAAAAACGCAATCGAATGCTTAGACCGATCACATAACACACAGTTTATCCAGGCACTAAATATAATTTCGGAAGTTCAACAACTTGTCGAGCGACCTCTCCTTTGAAATTGTTTCCTGTGTAGAATGTTGTTTACACTAAAGTGAGTTTGCAGCTGATCTAGTATAATTTTCTCAAAATTTTTACTGAAAGTAGGTATCATTGTTAACGAACTAAAAAAAGACACCTATGTGGATTGTTTCGGCGATTCTTCCCAGAGCAAGTCTTAGGAAATGCCGGTACCTTCTAGCTGTAAAGCCCGACTTGTAAAAATATCTGACAAGATTTACTTACAGAAAAAAAAAACCTTTTATCATTGAAATTTAACCCTTATTCATAATCGTTGTCATTTCCAAATTGGGACCTTGACCCGTGTCATCCGTTGCAGTTTCTATGGATCTTTCGTAACATTATATTTAAATGTGTTCAATGCCACGTCCAATTGTGCAGTAGGCTTGTCTGAAGGAGGTCAGTGGTCGGCAGTTGGACAACACAACTATAAAAGTGCCGCAAAGTGTCCGACGCAAGTGGGACATCGACGTAATATGATGTACGCAATCGCAAGTCATCAATATAGTCGCCGAGACACGCTGTGGGAAATTGCAATTGTTGTTCTTATTTTTCTAGGGTTTACTTTGCAGTACTTATATGTTGATCATACCTACATGCTCATGTAGTTCATAATTACTAGAATTGAGGGCCAGTGCAAGTTTATTTCACATGGACTCGCTCTCGAGGGCCAGCGCGTTTAGCCAAAGGCCAAACGCGGTCACCGTGACGATCGAGTAGAAGTGAAATCAACTCGCACTTGGCCCTCTGATAATTTGTATAAATGTTGAGTGAAAAGTAATTAATATTTATAAGAGTAATACAAAATCAACTGAGAAATATATTTATCAGTTACATTTCTTGAACAATACATTTTAACGTCTGAACTTTTAACAATGAACTATAATTTTTAAAGTATTTATTACATAACTTCTTTATTTCAGTACTCACATTGCATCATTTAGAATATTAAATAATTTGAATCAATTAAACATTATAAACTCGATTAAAAATATACTAAAGCGTTAAATCTAGTATTGGTAACACGAGGCATTGCAGTTCTTTAAATTACAATTTAAATATATTTTGTGTACAAAAACTGGCTTCTAATTTCAACTCTTGAAATTTTGTGTAAATATAGTATTTGTAGCAGAATTGCATGGAGGTTAATTGTAAGATTTACATTGCTGTTATAATATTAGTGACTTAAAAGGTTTAAAATTTTATAAGAACACATTATGCTATTGATGACATACCTTGTATTGTAATCGATATGAAATACCTCTGAAGTTACCCATACCAATGTCATTAAACATCTTACCGAATTTGCCCTTCTGGTTTATAGAGAAGCTTAACTAAACTTTGTTAGTGTAGTTTGTGATAAAAAAATGTATTCAATGGAGATAAGCAAAAATGCACTAGAGACTCTGTTAAAGTAGAAAAAAACTACGCATTATTTTGATTTATTTAAGTTGATCTGGTCTGAATGAATACAAAACAAGTAGTTTAGATTTACATATACCTTAGAGATACCTAAAGAATTATCATTTACATATTTCTGTTTTATTCCGTATTTAAAGCAGTTATATTAAAAAAAAAACACTTCATCAAATTGTAGAATTGCTCCTTATCGATGTTAAATTATTATCATCTTTATTTTACACCACAATAATTCGCTAAAACATGATACTGTTTTTTTTATATTTGATCAAGTTAATCTAAATTTTAGTTGGAAGATGTTTCATCAATATTTTCCGGTCGTACATTATGGTTTTAACTTTTTTTTATTCCTACAGTTCACTGTCTAAATGTGTATATTTTATAAAAAAATGAAATGTATTCATTCAATAATTATAATCAAAAGCCAAACAAGACGAGTAAATAATTGTAATGTTTGGGTGACTATCACCTACTCCACGTTTGTTGTCGAGGTGAACCGGTGTTATGTAACCACAAAACACTTTCACTGCTCTAAGTCTGTCTGTTTATGTCTGCCACCTAAAAATAAACTTTATTACCACAATGTATATGTTATTTTGCAGTAGGAACAATTACTTTCGTATTAGATTACGTTGAAAATATACACTAGGTTTTCTTCTAAAGTTTGTTTCATGGTAATGTCGAATTGATTGCGCGATGTGGTGTACGATGGTTATTACCAAGATAGATTTCCGTATTACCTCATCGTATTGAAAACTTAATGACTTTAATAACTATCATTTTCTTTACCACTTACTTTTATGATAAGAAAAAGAAATAGTATTTAAAGTCACTCACGACTTTGCTACCGTGCTCTAATGTTTAAATGGATGTTTTAAGGTAAGTTCTTTAATCAACAATTTGGATCAAGTGCTAAAAAAAAGTTAGATAAGTTGCCTACTGATATGAATCTGTTAAATGAACCATTCCGTAATATTTCATACCAGTTCAAGTTAGAAATATTTATGTAAGTATACATGATACGCACTAAGTATTTTTATTTTAAAGTTTTACCAATTTCACTAAATTTTCATTTTTTTCAATTTCATTTAATGCTAATTTTGTTCAAATAATTTATTTAATTATTTATGCACAAATATGTATTGTACAATGGTGGACTTAATGCCACAGGCATTTTCTGCCAGTCTACCTTAGTGCGTGGTAGTGCGGAAATGTGTGACTAGGTGTTTTTAATAAGGGACAATCACTCAACAAATAAGTGTTAGAGCTGTGCGAGAGCCATGCCCAATTGGCCTGGCTCGATCTGAGTGATACCACGGCCTCACAGAAAACCGGTGTTAAGCATTTCTTCCACTGCTTTTCACAACCCCAAACCTCCTAATTCTGAAGGAGGGAGAGGGCAGGAAGTACTCAAAAGGCGACTACGTACCTGTGACTCTTTGAGTTGCAGGAGGCCATGGCGGCGGTAGTAGTAGTAGTTACCCGTTTAGGTGTCCCGTTTGCTCACTTGCCCCACTAAACCATAAAAAAAAATTGTCGGTTACAAATCCATTAGCAATTGATTTATAGATGCATTGACAAAGTAGCTTTTGAGCAAAATTCCAGTACCCCGTAGCCAAATTACAGCACGCTTACGATACTTCCTACTAAAATATTGGTCATCCTTATAACAAGTTGGTACACGTAATACAATTAATACAGTATCTTAAAAGATTCAAATAAGATTGTGTTATAATTAATGGGGGTCAATTTTAGGCATCGTCGACCCCCAAAATCAGTTTTTGTTCATGTCGACCCCTTTTTTTTTTTTTTTTTTTTCCGTCCGGAAATCCCCTCGGATACCACCTGTCGGTGGCATGTCGGACTCGAACAGACTAAAACCGCACGCCGTCTCGGGTACTAATAGCCGGGGAACCAGGTATACCCTAGAAAGGAAGTCCCTGGTGCCCCGACATACCTCGGGTCATCTACAGACGAGTAGACGACCCCCCCCCCCCCGGATGGGAACCCCATGTTCCCTGTGCTCCCTGGAAGCGAGCGCGCTTCGCAACGCGTTCGCCGCCACCCCGGCCTGCTTCAGCTAGGATGACAGATGGCCTCAGCTGTCACCCCCAGGCCTGCGCTTATGGAGGACGGAGGTCGTTCTGCGACCTCCGGCGCCTGAGTCGCCTGCGGTACCTGGCCCGTTCCCGGGCCTGGCGGGCCGGGAGAGTCCTAAACCTCTTCCGGTTACTCAAAGGGTGGTACTGCACTGGGTGACTCTTGAGTTGCAGCTGTCCATGGGCGGTGGTAATCACTTACCCGACTTTTGTCACTTTTACTAAGATTTATGTAACATTATTTGAGTTCTCTGTCATTAATTTAGAATACATTTTTGCTTACATAATATGCCCGTCAACGTGAATTTGATTTACTTGCTTCAAAAGAAGAGAAATATCTACGTAGAGTAAAGCGCTATAAATTTTCTATGAATTCGTTGCCAATTGTATTCAATACTGTTAGGGATGTCCTTTGATCCATATTCCCCTTTGAATATTATCGCGATGTACTGAACGTTCCTTGATTCACAAAGCGATAAGCACCTCTTCCGATTGCCTAATCATCCATCCGATTTATGCGATATAGTATATTCATAGTGGATGCAAATATACTTGATTTTAGTTTTAAATTTAGTTATTATAATTGCATAGGTTTAGAAAAATATATTGATTAAATTTGAGATCAAATTGTAAAATAACCATAGTATATTATAAATATACACCGTTCCTATTTCCTTTCATCTAATCTATCATCATCATCAACAGCCTCTAATAAGTCACTTCTAGATATTGGCCTGTCGTTTTTTTCAGTAAGGAGATTTTGGTCTACCATCATATAGCCAATGCGGGCCAAACGGATTGGTGTAGCGTTTGTGTTAAGTTTGCAATGCTGTTGTCCTGGGTAGTTTGTTCCCTTTAGTCGTCGCTTACGATACCCACGGGATGAATAAGTGTTGTGACTTAACGTCACCACACAGAAAAATTACCTGAAGTTTTTACGATTAATATAACGTATAATACAAAATATAATTATATATGTTTCAGTCAATACAAGCGGTCACCAGATCAAGCCAAGGAGTTGTACCTTCTGAGTGTGTTCCTTGGTGATATTGTGGGTTCTCCGCAGTTATGTCTACAACTTGGCAAGCGCAGAAGTTGCGACAACGAGCAGTTTGGAATCGCGTAGTACCAACATACCAAAGTTGAATCTGTACTTTATTATAAGACGTTGTTAGAAGTACAATGGCCAGTTAAAGTAGACTTAATGCAGTTCAGATGATCTGAGCAATAATGATGAAATGTAACAATTGATCTTAATTTATGTGATCGAAGCTCATGAAAATGAATACATCCAAAAGAGATAATACACATAATACAGGCTTATACATTGAAACCAGGTACACAAAAAATATAATTCTAACACAAAAAGCACTAATTGCCGAGATTCATCATCATTTTATATAAATATATATGTAGACTTGGATAAAAAAAATGAAAGTTTTTTCAGGAATAAAAAAACTAAGTTAAATAAAAAATGTGATTAGTATAAATGATTACGTATCCTTTTTTTATTATACAAGGTGAATTCGCGTTTGCTTTGTTCCGTCTACGCATTTAAAACGGACAAGACAAGGCCCTGGTTAATATTTTGTAACAAAAAATTTAGTTTGTAAAAAAAAACTACTCTCTCTACTACCAGCGGCGAAAACCTTCCTTTCCATTTTTTTTGGACTAGTTTTTGCCATATTGATTTTTTTACTCGTATATCCAGTAACTTATAATGGTTACTGTAGATTTAAAAATATAAGCAACATGTTTTCAAACATTAGACTAGGACATTTTTTAATCGACAACAGTACTTTTATGCATTCAAATTTACATTGTATCAACTACTCTAAATTTTGAAGACGACGCGCTACCGTCTCATACTTGCTTTTGAGGTTAGCCCGACTGCTGAGCTGAGCCAGGCCAGCGTTCATGGAGAACTGAGATTATGGCACCCGGAGTTATGTGGGACGAGAGCATGCTTGTCCTCGCCCAATCCCATTCTAGCTCCCTTTGATCCACATCATCTCACCGCAAAATAGGACGGCGGAATTCCACACATTTTCATTTTAGACCATGGACACAGAATCATGATCTTGAGCAAGAGGCTACCCAATTATTTACTATGCTAAGTCATATAAACTTTTCAAAAAAATTATCTGATAACATCTTTGCAAATAATTTTATCTATAATTTTTATATTTTGTCTTGCATTATAATAATTTTAGGTATCTGAATATTATTTTGGAGAACACTTTTTTATACATGTATATTGTTCTTGTTTTAAATAGTTAGTTTTAAGGAGATTAGTAAAACCACATCAATAATCGTGATGATATTTAAGTTACCGACAACAAAATAAGTAGGTATATTCATTTTTTAAGTATTTTACATTAGTGTATAACATGTACCATTAAGGTTAAGCGCGCAATTAAAGTTACCTATTAATTAATTAAAATTATTAATATTAAATTAATAATTATTGTTAATCACAATATATAACTGCCTAAATTTAGTACCTCTTATAATTTACGTAATATGTCTAGTATTTTTATACCTTGAAAACTATTTGTATATAGTAATAAAATTTAGATTTGGTCTCATTACCAAATAATTATAAGTAATTAGATACTGAATTGTAATCACTTTCATTATAAAAAAATTGTAAGCAACTAATGCATTAAGAATATATTTAAGTATCAAAACTGTAAGGAAATAAATGTATAGCTTATTTGAAGGACGCTTTTCGACTGCTTTAGGTTTTCTATTTATACCGATAAAATATAAAATCAAAACCTGTTTAACTTGAACTGCAGGTCTTGCAACAGATGGGTGGAGCGCAATTGCAACCTTTGGGTTTGTAAACATTTTCACGTTTGACTCCTGATTTTTGAATAATAACACATGCTGATAAAAATGTTAGCTTCTTTTACTTAAACTCATAAATTTTAGGTATTTCAAATATCACACTTCTCCGTGTACGAAATTTGCTTAAAAATTAAAACTCTTGTCTGTATCATAATTGTCGATATACATAATAATATATTTTATATATTATCGATAAGACGATAGTTATTTGTTATGGTTTTGTTTCTCTTCAACACACAAAAAAGAAGAAAAGCGATGAAACCAATCATTCGGCAAAAAGATATTGTAACTTTCCAAAGATATTATTTAGTTAATACTACAGAATTACAAAGTTACTAACTTTACTAACTTTTGGGTAGAAGCCAAAGTTGTTGAGAACAAAAGTTCACGTACTAATGGGCATATGTCTGTATTGGAGTTTCACAATTGTGAATCCCCAATAAAAATAGGTAAATTTAAGTTATATTGTACTTCATCAATATTATGTATTGAATCTGAAAGTTTTTACAGATTTTCTTCTAATTTCTCAAATAATTATAACGCTTTAACGGAAATTACATTTATTTTCGTATAGTTTAACCCTTTGTTACCAATTAATGTTACGTAGATTTTGCGGTTTGGACTGCAAAAGGGTCCGCAGGTCGGGAAAAGTGTAATTAAGATATTCTTTACCTCTATTTATTAATTTTTAAGCTCGGATAGCATCTATTAAAGTATGTAATTGGTTTTAAATTAATTATCTTTGATTTTCCAATATTATGTAACCGTACTTGTACTTGAATTTGTTAAATGTTAATTCAGAAGATTAGATTTTTTTGATGTGTCACATCCTTTCCTGTTGCTTTCCTATAATGTGCAGGAGTAAAATCATGAAGAGAGACGTGTGTAACAGGAATCTGTTAAAACACGAGCTTTTTGATTTGACTATCAATATTAATAATAGTTTCGGATGTGTCAGATGGACACCCAACGCCATCTAGTTTCAAACTAAGCAGAGCTTGTGTTATCAAAGTTCAACCAAACTTGAAAATCAAACTTGTATACTTTTTTTTGTAAATATGTGCATACATATAAGACATTCAAACTCCGAAACAAATGTTTGCAGATCATACAAAATCCATGCCCTGCTAGAGTCGACCATGAGACAAATGCGATATATGCGAGCAAATGCGAGCATGGCTTGCTCGTTTTTTAAATGTACATATTTCAGAGATGCGCGCCTAAGTGTTCCCCTTTATCATGGAGTAAAACGATATGTCGCGCAACTGCTTAGATTAGCCCAGTGTCATCCGCTCAACATGTAATGTGAAATAAACGCAGGCTTCCTCATTCTCACTTTATTATAATGATGTCAATCTAGTCAGACTAATAAAAAAAGACCAAAAAGTGTCAATTCTATTTTCACTGTTATGCAATAAATACAAAGTAATCCATAGTGACACCAATTATCATTTCGATGATAACTTTTGAAAGAAGCTTTGGTTAAAGTAAATATGATATCTACTTCTTATTCTTCTTATATTGTCCATACAGCGATAGGAATAAAAAAAAATCGTCTAATATACGTGATAACTTTGACAATGATTTCAATAATATATGGTACTGGTTGGTATTTGGTACAGTCAGCGGACAATAAATAATAATTATAGTCATTGTTAACTAGTCCAACTGTACACTCAAGAGCGTTGTCAAATGTATGTCATGTCGATGTCGATGAGACATGTCCGTTGTCCTATTATTTGTATTATTTCCGATTGACTGTACCATTGACTCGAACATTATTTAGCAGTTTTATATTGATGAATATTATTTCCGATAATAATTCTAGATCCGCTGGTGTTGTTGATAAGTATTTAGATTAACTTTTTACTGTTAGGTCCTCATATCGTGAATTCTTCCAGTTAGTTGCCACAAAACTATGTGCTTGTGCAATTAATAAACTGAAACTTATTAATTTTTTAATATTCTGTTTTTGTTCTTTTTTTTGTATTTTATTTATCCAACACAATTTATTTAGTGTTCCTTTTTGTTATTTTCTACATAGAATAGTTAAGAGTAATTGATAATATAATATAGTTTGTTACTTACATAAAACATTTTATATTCATGTATAGTGGTTTAAGAAATATTTTTAAGAAGGTATGACTGTGAAGTTTAAAAATAAAAGGTGATAAGTAGATGGATTACATCAACTTAAGAATGGCGTACTAATAGCTGTCTAAATTATTATAGTTTTGATCAATTTTATTCATTACATGATTTGGCCTATTCATGATTTAAGTTACTTTGTTTTAGTCTATCTACTTATTTTAAATGGGAAATTATTGTTTTTATATTATTTCTTCGCATCCACTTTTAAATTTGGATGACACTGTGAAGAACAGTGTGTCATCTGGTCTCAGTTAGGTACTGTTTTACCTCTATCACATGAATGTTTGTGTTACTTTTAAGGTACGATATTGGCAAGTAAAGTATCGTAAAGATAATTTAGTTTCTTTAGGGAGACCCTAGTACTTTCTCCCCGAAACCGTTATCAAATGAGTACGCGTCGAGGGCGGATATTTCAAGAATTATTATTTTAACTAAATAAAATTGAGCTGACCCTTTCTTAATACCCATCACTTAAATCTATTTATCACAATGGTAGTTGTGAATAGTTTATGATACTACTACGATTCTATAGTCCATAGCGTTAATAAAGCCGCAATCAATATGTCGAAACCCCTATAAAGGTCCAGAACCATGCAATTTTTTAAAGAATATTAAAGAACCTCAAACAGGAATTCACTGTTTGTAACTATCTTTTTTAATTGGGACTAATCCCACCACTGTAACTCCTGTACCACCAGGATCCACAGCAGTGACCCACGAACACACCGAGTTATGACACTCGGGAAGTCCCAGGACGAAATTAAACTGTCTTGGAACCCGCAACGAAATTAATCAGAAGAAAATTGGAGAAGTTGGAAATATATTAAATCCACTTCCCTCCTTAGCAAAGCCGGAGACAAACTGAAGTAAAATAGGCATAAACCACAAAATATTACGGGTCCTATGTGAGCTAAATTTGATTTCTAAAATATGTATGGCAGAATCGCCTAAACGCACGGAAATTCGCCCTAGTTGACACAAGATCCTCATAGTATACCACCCCACTAGTTTGTCACTATCGTGATATTTCACAGACAGTTCATTTCAGGGGATATTTAATACGTCGGGGTACCAGGGATTTCCTTTCTAGGTCTCACCTAGTTCCCCGGCTACTGGTAAGTA